TCAAAGTTATTGCGAAGCAGGAATGTCGCCTACCTCGTGATTAGTGGATACTGTTCAAGGCATACCACGAAACAATTCCATCATAAAATGGTTTATAATCTGTCACAATCTGAAGCTAAGTGAAGGTGCGCAGTGCCAGGTTAGCATGTAGAAAGTAAAATTGGATAGGTTTTCTTCCACATGAAGCTTGTTCTTAGTCTCTGTGCGCACGTAAAATTTGATTCAATGGTTGTAGTACATAACACTGCATTTTTACTTCACTTAAACGCTATGTCAACTGGATCCATCAGCACTTAACACGCACAGAGCAGGCTATATACCACTCCCACTGAAACTAGTTAAGAACGTGGATGGTTTGCATTGAAATTTTGAATGAACTTGTTGTTAAGTTCCCAGAAATTCATGCCTAGAATGCAAGCGACATACCCAAGACTTACCATCCGAAGTCCTTACCCACGACACAATGCCATATTCTTTCATGTCGGCGGTCGAACTCTTTCTTAATGAATTCCGCCATTTCCCGTTCTTGTTTACCAGAGTTCATGGCTGTCAAATACAAATCCACAGCATCTTGTTGAAACGTCTCCGTAACCTTAGTAGCCTGGACGACCTGTGAATTACTGTTCATTGTTTAATACATACCACTGAAACGGGATGATTCGGATTCAAAAGTAGTGATAACGCCACAGTTTGCCTCCGTGATCGTTTTCTATAGGCCCATGTGTGTGGGTCGATATATGTGCGCCGCGAAAGACCGATTTTGACTTCACATGATGATACACGTTAACGGTGTGTCTCTGTGTGCGTGTGCGTGCGTAGAGCTCTTTTTAACCTCAGAGTCCCTGAACCACGATAGATCATAGATACCAGATTAAGCGAAATATTCGTTCCGTTACTCCATTTGACGTCGCGTTTCCAATACCGCTTCTAAATTCTGTCCACCTTTCTCCTTTGAGGCTGATAATGCATCGGGAAATTGCTCATTCGGGCAGATTTTGCCGAGGTTTATTAGTGTTGCATTCATCAGAAAAAACGGTGTTTGGAGTCAATGATGATTTAGACTCAGTAAGCACACCTTTATCGCGTTCCTCACCGCACCGATTCAATTATTTTTTCACACGTCCCTCTTTAGAAATTCCATCAGCATTGTTTCATTCTTTCTTTCTTGTAGTGAAAAAGTACCGGGCAGATGATGTATGGCATTTAGTGTGGTACTGAGCGGCAAAATGCATCGGTAAAGCCGAAAACTCACCGGGGATGTATAAAGCTATTGATCGTTTTAAGGTTCACAAGTTGTCTGTTGCCTGCTTAGCCTCAACCAAGCACACCTATTCAGACAGCTTCGTTTAATTTTTTTCTCCACTATACTGATGTGTGTACCATTTACCATTCTGCTTACTGAAATCGTTTAACGCAAACACGGCTGGTTTTGCAGATGTTCGTGCACATCTCAGCTTCGAGTGGATGGTGGCTATCAGAACTTCCAATTTCAGAGCTTCCGGGATAAGGGCAAATGGTCATCAAATATTGTTTCAGTATTATCCAAGTTTACCAGAACGTCGTGTTTAATAAATTAACTAAGAATGTGAAAAATTTCTGATAAATTTTCACACATGCACCTTATGGTGCGAATGTAACGGGATAATAAAAGTTTGATTGGTGCATAAATCTATTTCCATTAATCTAAACCGGTGGTGGGTTGTCAAAGGGTTTTCGGCAACCTTATAAGTAGTGCACTAAAAATGGACATGTATCGCGATATCTCGAATATCGTAGCAACTGAGACATGAGGAGTTTTAGTGTAGCGCATTCAGTTGCCTGGAGACATCACAAACGGGAGATTCAGCTGGTTTCCTGGTGAGTCTCTTCGCTTTTTTATTATCAATATGGTTTACAGTCTGAGCCGTACGACTAAATTTCCAGAGTTTCCGGACACAGGACAAACATTTAAAGTTGCAGATTCAAGTATCTGGAATTGAGTAAAGAGTAAGAACAGCCTAAAGGTGGATGCATTGTTGCAGTACAGCTTTTTGATGGGAACTTTTACAACATTCTTTCCAAACCCTATATCTACTTGTAAGGAAACTAGGTGGATTTACCACTGCGGAGTTTGCGAGCTACAAGAGTCAGCTATGGTGTGCGATTTTAAGCCGAAATAATACATGATCCCGTTTAGACAACTAACGACTTAAGAGTTTAGGCAACTAAACTTATAAAATGAAATCCACGCGTAAAAACTCAACTCGATGGCCCGCAAGAAATTGTGACATTGTTGTGTATTATACAGAGTTTGGTTCTGGTCATCCCCTAGTCTGGAATGGCACTTGGTTGACAACATCCATTGTGTGATATCAGACATATTTCAGTCCACACAATTTCTCGGCTTGGGACGCCCTCACTGTAAGTTGCAGATATTGTGTGCAAACCGACTGATGGTATTCCAGTTCTCCGAATCTTTGTGGCACTTGGGATTTGGGCTGAAACGTCCATCTATTTGTCAACGTTATCCGACCACCGGAAAATCCGAAATTGCAGTTGTACAGATTATGCTTGTGGACTTAGTGTTTTTGGTGAGCTAAGTTAGGAAAGCATTTACGCACACGCAGGCCATAAAGGTCTAGCTAGGATTCCGTGTGAAATCGGAATTGATATGAATAATAGCTGTTGTTACGGAGGGATTAATTCCTATGCACTGTAGTGATCAAAACTAGTGGTAAGAAACGTAACTGCTCGACGACAGACAACATATTCATTGGAACTCAAATCTCATGCACAAAAGGGAATAAGAAATTTACTATGTAACGTTACACTACTGCCTCTGAAATATTATTTCAGATAAATTTCCAAGAAACTACAGAACATCGTTACATAAGCCTGCTCCTGGACATGCAAAATTATTGGTTGTCTGTCAAACTGTTTGAAATTCTTGTTCCTACTGGTTTCATCGTGTTCAAGCTCATGATTCATAGCATGCTACACAGTCGATGAGGACCTTGTTGTACAAATAACCACAATTTTTGAGGCTTTCAAAATGTTATTATTTCAGGTCTGCAGATACTATCGCTTCGAAGATTGTTGGTCAGTTGGCAGTTGATCTGTTCACCGACAGTGGCATGTTGTCTGCATAGTTTTGTGCGCCATGAGAGGGGATCTCAAAATGCACGGGTTGGTGGGAAATTCTCTCAGTTCAGCTTGTGTTGAAATGGTGTGTATGATGTATTTAATATCTCTGGCGCGAGGGACTGTTACGAGATTGCTTTGGTGTGGTCTGATTGGCCTACTTAATTTTGTTGTTTTTATCGGTTTAGTTAATTTGGTTGATTCATTGAATATCTTCATCTCAGTAATTTTTTTAAAATTTTTACTAACTCGTTTGCGTTCAGTGAATTTTGCGTTTCGGTCCATCAAAATAAAATTTCCCTTTCTTGCTTTCTTTTAGCAATTTCAGTAAATTTCTTTTGCATTCTTCGGCTTCGTGATTCTGGAGTGCTTCTTCTACAATGGTTGAAAGATATAGTAGATCACAATGTACTTAGTAATGAATTATTATTTTTGCTTTCTCAGCTCAGTTAATTCACATCACACTTTGGGCTGGTATATACAAATGGTTCTAGTGAGTGTCTTGTCTTATTTGTATCATAGCATGGAGACGAGTGAGGCGTGATCATTTATCTTGTAAGTCTAGGTCGATGTGGCTCAGATTTCTTTTGTTATAACGCCAAAAATGACTTTTCAGTTCATTATTTGGGAGGACTATGGGTCACTTCAGGCTATGATCAACTGTAGATTATTGCTGGTACTGTGAGGGATACTATATACTGCACTCTTCTAAAGTTGAACTTTTTGAACTCTAGACTATTTCAGGTTTTAAAGGCAGTTTTTGAGTCGATCAAGTATTATTCAGTACTAATATAATATTATTATGGCATTATTAAGGGGAGTTAGCATGGCTTAGAATTTTGGCTGTAAAAAGCAGTTATTAGACGCTTGGTAACGACTGATATATCACTGTGACCAGATTTTGTGGTCTCAGCTTCGCGAAGGTCATTAATCGTTGCTAAAGGACATGCTCTCAACATTTTAGGTTCATTTTCGCTTTCTGTCAATCGGAGGTGAGTGATCATTGGGAACCTCGAAAATGCTGAGTACGTTACTCCATCATATTGTTCAGCGGCCAGTAAAATATTAGATGTCTCCCAGTGCTGAAATTTTTTTCGTATTGGTTATATCTTATCGAAGAACTGCTATAAAAAATACACTTATCTGCAAGCAAATTTGTTTTTGCAAGAGACTCACCTGAACCTCAGCTGAATCTCTTTTTTTATAATGTTTCGAAGCAAATGACTCTGCTATACAGTTGTTACGGTATTCGAGATATCGCGATACATGTATGTTTTTAGTGCATCAGTCATAAGGTACTGAAATTTCTTTGACAGCCAACGATGGTTTCGCCCTTCTTGGGGCTCATAAGGTAGGAATAGGCCTGAGATTCCATCAGCCTTATGCTCTGCTTAAAACCAACTTGCACGGTTTAGCGAAATAATCCGGTTCTATTTGGTCCCGAGTAAAAGTTAATGTTGATGGAAACTTGGGAATTACTGTGCCAATTATGATTTTCCACTGTAATTATGGCTTAAGTTCTCTGAAGAGATGGTCAAATGGACTTTAGTTTTATGTAAACCAAGGCCTCTGTTGGGAATTCTCTTCTTAAGAAGCTAGCGTATATTCCCCCCTCCCTCATAGAGTTCAGTAATTGACGAGTGGACTGTAGCGGAGGAGAATATTTTTAGCTTAACAATTCCTGCAGGGCTTGCTGTGCAGTAAATATAAATTTGTTAATAGAGAGTAATACAATTACTGTTTACTGTTAGGAAAATAGTGAATGTTAAGATATGATGCAGAACTGATGGATGACAGTTATTGTGAGCGTTTCTTTTACGACCAATAGACTTTCTTGTCCTTCCTAGTGATCGAGAATTGAGGCATACCAACCCACGAACCATACCGTTTGCCAGCTAGAGGCTGGGCTCCAAATCAATATGCAGTGCTGTGAAGAGGGTTTTCCTTGATTCACTGTGTAAGCTAATATGCAAAGATACTCGTGAAAATTCTGGCCATTGGTGTGTTCAGTGAGCAGACCATGTGGATTGCAAGCCTTTGACACCAACTGAGTTGACATTATCAGCGTTTTGCGAGCGGACGTGTGATGAAGATCGAAGTGCGCAGTTGTTGAGGGTGTATGGATTGACAAAGAATCTGCTGATCAAAGTCAGCGTCGATCCATCAGAGACCGTCTAGGTGAGCATTTTCATTGGCCCGCTTATCAATCTATCTTCTGATATGAACCATATTCCCATACAGAGGTACACTCTTATCTTTCACATTTCACAGAAAATCAGTCTGTCCCTGAAATAATGACATTTTTATCGGATTACCCAATACAAAGTTTGGTAACAAGCGATACCAGGCTTTGGTAACATGTTGCGAAAACACATCCGCTTGGCTCTCATTATTATTATTTATTATATTTGTCAGTTTTTCCCACAATAACAAAGCTAGCACTTCATGCGCGTTTGGCAATCGGTCCCGATTATTCCCCTACCATCAGAAGGATTCAACTTGCACAAG